GTACCAGGGGTATGTATTATACAAATATAGTCCCCAGAACGTACAAACAATCACCATACTTATGTCGACTTGTTTAAGAAGGGGGACTGACTGACTGAATGAATGTGGAGCATTCATGTTTCATTGAAACTCGTTGGCTTTTTGTTGATTGATATCGAAAGTTGAACTACAAAGAGCGTACCTGAGTGTAAACTGATTAGTATTTTTATTTGCAGCTGTTGTCATAGGCGACCCATATAAACTTGACATGTCCCCAGGGGTATGTAAATCACTGACGCGTTTTTCAACTGTAAAACAAATGGCTCTATTTATGGCATTTATAGCTTGTAAGAAAACATCAGATTAATGATACATTAGACTGTCTCCCAGGTCTCAAGTCTAGAAAGATTGGGCAAGTCTAGATTGCATCTGAGATTCCGAGACCTGACTTAGATTCAGCTCAAGGCCTAAACTTATGCATTGGTCTGGGCTCCATTTGGATTTTTTATTTTATTTTGTAGATAAATATTTTTAAATGAGATAAATTTATTTCTGGGATTAAATGTCAGTCAGGATATATAATTTTGCGATTTGGTATCGAGATCAGATCAATTTAGGATTATGAACCTGAATTTATTTCTTACTATCAATTGAATTTTGGTGGCATAATTATTTTTCAAAAGAATTTTCTGGTCCAATTTATTTTATTCGATAAAATGCCAAAAGTAACAAAAAACGTCTTCAAAAGCAACATATAACCCGGGGAAGAGGACACTTTTAAAGGGCTGAAGACCCGACCCAATTTCCCAGTTCCCCTGGTTTCCCAGTCAAGACTTTGGGGAACGATTATTTCCAACTTATAAACAAAAATCTGAAGCAACATTTATCAATGATTTTATGTTTCAAATATACTTTCCCTGAACATTAGAACATTAGGAAAAGGACGTAAAATATCTCTTGCTGGCGGACATATACTTGGAAATGAGAGTCAGTGTGGTAATCTCCGCCTTTGTCGCCTTGCGGATCAGTCACTGGGCCGAAGAAGAAAAAGGTTCAATCATACTAAAATGTAAAGAAGATATATATGTACATATCTCTGGGACAGAGGGACTTTCTATAAAATTTCACTTGGCCGGAGGAAGTTCTATTCAGTATCACCGGGACTGACAGATATTCTTAAGAAATTCCCTGCTGAGAGGTTACTCTTCGAAATGAAGGCCTCGGAAAAACAATAAGCTGACCTGAAATATAGAAGGAAATACTGTCCCCGAAGTAGCACGTTCCAGAGAGTTTATGCATCCTATGCCTCTGTTTTCTTATGTTGTGTACATGGACTATCTAACCCTACCTGATCAGTATACTAGTACATGAATATACAACGTGATTGGATATGTACGTTTTGTGTTCCGATTTATTAGGCATTTTTCGGGGCATTTAAAGTTCTATATAAATGTCTGTGCGATCTTCGATTACTAATTTAACCAACTTAAGCATCGAACTAACAGAAGAATTGAATAGCTTTTGCAGAACAAGTGTTTATCATATGCGAAAAGATGAGAAATGAAGGTGGTTCTGTATCCGGGGATGATAACTGAATGTGGTTCTGTATCCGAGGTGATAATTGATGGTGGTTCTGTATCTTGAGTTGATAACTGAAGGTGGTTCTGTGTCCGGGGTGATAACTGAAGGTGGTTCTGTATCTGGAGTTGATAACTGAAGGTGGTTCTGTATCCGAAGGTGATAATTGATGGTGGTTCTGTATCTGGAGTTTATAACTGAAGGTGGTTCTGTATCCGAAGGTGATAACTGAAGGTGGTTCTGTATCTGGAGTTGATAACTGAAGGTGGTTCTGTATCCGGAGGTGATAACTGAAGGTGGTTCTGTATCCGGAGGTGAAACGTGTAAAAACCCTACCTCTGTGAAAACTGTTTACTTGTGTCCGCAATAGAACATTGCTATGCCCCCTCACAGTATTGGGAATCTAATATAACACGTCAAGGCCAGAGAATAATCTGTCTCGCTTATCCCACAGAACAGTTTCTATTTGTGCCCCACTGGGCGTAAAATGCAAACTAACGGTTAAACCTATATGAAAAGGATCACTGAAAATCCGTTTTCACACCTGCTGTTCGTGAACACCAGTCTAAGCCAAGACGTTCCTTATCGCTAAGGTACAGAACAGCAACGCTTCAACGTAAATGAACGTCATCTATCGTGATATTCCTTTATCAATTTTCATTTTGTACCAGAGAAAGCTATTTCTGATGTTTGTCAGCTTATGACCACACGTAAATCCAATTTGTAAGTGCTACCAGTGATATCACAAAGGTTTCATACATGTAGCTAAACGTTTCAGTTTCAGATGGACCCGATTATCAGGGGTATATAATTTAGTTTTAACACTGAGAAAATATTTTTATGTTTCACATTTATTGATTTAATCATGCCAATTATTCCATTGGCTGTAGCCCTCATCTCCGTGGACGTCATGTTAGTGCAAATCAATGAAATTGATGACTACATCAATTGCTAGAAAGGTCAAATGCGATTTTATGAGATGGTCATTCAGAGAATAGTTTAACTGAACTAATGTTTATTTGTGTAATCATCAAGTACTTCTTATAATAACCAACTCGTATATCGCGATCACACTTACAAAGTTTCGATCTCGCGGCTCGGGACAAGATTTGTTCATCTGGAACAGATAATCAAGAATTTCTCACGGATGCTAAGTTACATTGGGAGGGAATACAAGTCGGCGAAAGGGACGAGATTAGCCATGCAGTTAAAGGGGACAAATCAGTAAGACATCAGCTGTTTCTGTGACTCCTCAAAATATCGAAGGTCGGGACAAATATGAAAAAAACACAATTATAAATGTTTCTCTAAATGAAAAGTAAACGTGTCACTTCTTACATGTATTCCATATTGGCCGCCATTGGCTCAGAATGTGGAAGAGGGAATATTTGCTGGAATAGCCATGGCATGGACGATAACAGCATACCATAATTAATTGCACATACAATACCCGGGGTAGAATAGGTCTTCAGCAACCCATGCTTGCCGTAAAAGGCGACAATGCTTGTCATAAGAGGCGACTAACGGGATCGGGAGGTCAGGCTTGTTGACTTGGTTGATGCATGTAAGCAGCCATTTAGAAATAGCATGGACTTGTACATATTAGATTGAGTGTAATAATACGTCAGTAATGATTCAAACTTATCTCTGACATTTTTTTAGATAATTATAACAATAAATTATGAAGTTTAGACATAAAATATTAATATTTATTTTAACCATGAAACAATTGAAGAGAGATCTGTGAGTTCCATAGGGTTTATACAAGCTCTTGTGCCGAGGACCAACACCCAAGGAGTTATATACCCCCACAGCTTACTCGTCTTACATTAACAATTACATGTACTCTGATTTCCGGCTATGTAATCTCCTCACAGCTGTCAACGTTGACTACACAAAGCTGAGGGAAAGAAAAAAGTTTCAATATTGCCTGACAAGAGTTGATTTACTTACAGTCTTAGCTGATGGTCAATCATGCGCCAGCTGGTTACAAAACATTTATCAGTTGACCAAGAGAAGAAAAGCCGGTCCGGATGTGCCCGCCAATTTTATGTATGATTACGTAATTTAATGTTTGCATATCAGCATCATAGACCCGTGAAGATCCCTGGTGGAATACGTCTTCAGCAACCCATGCTTGCCGTAAAAGGCGACAATGCTTGTCGTAATAGGCGACTAACGGGATCGAGTGGTCAGGGTCGCTGACTTGGTTGATGTAAGCTCATGAACAGATGGGGGCACCCTGTATGTGAATGTAAAGAGACATGACTATCACTGACATTAAGCAATCTCATGCAAGCAGATTTCTGATTGTTTGTAATGAGGCACTTAGCACCTTGGAGCTGCATGTCCGGAACTGGTTCAAGGACAAAAACTTGATGGGAATGTCAGCTTGAGAGTGTGGGGGAATAATTACAGACTTGCATGGTCTTGTGTAGCCCCCATCAATTGATGCTAGTAACAACGCGTGTTGGTCTGACGTTGATTAATGAATAATTTTCATACTCGTATATGCAGGGGGCCGACGTATGGTTCTCAGTAGGAAGTGGCAACTTGGAGACGATGGCTTGCGGTATATACAGTTTTACTTTATACATGTAGATACATACATACAAAAGACACTATGTGCTAGGTCAGCACATAGTGGTAGTGGTTGTTGTCTAGGTGACCCGGAGCACCCAGCCTAACCCTAGCTAGGCTAAGGGTAAGACCTTTCTTTTTTCTGTCTGGACCAAGGCTTATATAGCCAAGGTCACCTGACATTTAGTAAGTTATAAATATTAATGTAAACAGTAAATCATCAGTGACATACTTGCACATCTCGTTCAGGATGGCAGACGGTCGATGTACACAAAATTGGGATCAACAAATAGGATTAGCATCTTATAAATAACAGCAATTAAGTGTTTCAAGGCATCTAGATGTCATGGCTCCAGGGTAATGAGCCTTTGCAATTAAATGTTCTTCAGACAATGGGTGTCGTAAATCAGTCGCTATGACACTAGAAAGACTGACACAAGACCTTGTGAAGGCACCCCGAGGGCAGGTCTACTGTTACTTTGTTTAATTCAATGAAGTCAGTGCCTAAGCTGAGGGAGTGATGTTAGTAATAAAGGACGAGAAAGATTTGAGAGAGGTAGATGTGCCCTATGTTAATGCCAAGAGAGACAGAACTTAACACAGAATTGTTTTTCTCCACCTACATCTATAATTTGGGTGAGGTGACATGGGCCTAAATGACAGGGTTTGATGCCAATTTTGTGAAAGTAGTCAATGCTGACACAGCTAACTGATGCACCTGTGTTAACAGGAGCTGTAGTTCCCACTTATTGCATCTACTATGAACAGTGTTCTTGGTCAAGGGAGGCACAAGTGATACAAACGCTGAGTCTTGACTGACGCCAGAATGTTGAGTATCAGGTACAAGTCCCAGAATCTTTCCATATTGTGCATAGTATGCACGCATACATATCTTTGCATTGTGTCCTGTACGTGAGCAATAATTACAGACTATTTCTATGAGGACAATTGTGAGGAAACCGAAAAAAGTCAAACACATCAGCGACATCTGCCTCTAAGGTGTTGTGGAAATGGCAGCCCTTGACTGTTGCTGGGGCTGGATACTCCTATGGGGGTGGCTGGTATTGCTGTGGTGATAGTTGGTATTGTTCCTGTGGTGGTTGATATTTTACCTACAGAGGCTGCTATTGTGGTTGTGGTGGTTGGCACTGCTGCTGTGGTTGGTACTGATGCTGTTTTGCTTGGTATTGTTCAAATGATGGTTGGTATTGCTTCTGTGATTGTTGGTATTGATTGTACAGCAGAGGGTCGTCAATTGCTTAATTTGTTTGACCAAGCTGGCCGTTGTGTTGGCCTGCGATTGTACAGCCAGTTGGGCCTCTTGACGAACCTCATCCAAGGTCGTTGGCTCCTTCATATACACCCACAGCCTAATCTGTGGGAGTAGCCCTATCTCAGATTGTGGTAAGCTGTATTGTAACGCAGATGCTTGGACACTGGTGATGAAGTCTTCAACGTTCTCTTGCTCCGTCTGCGTCATATGGAGATGACTCGAATTGAAGGCTGATGAACGTCAAAATCATTGCTGAAAGGCCGCTTGTGTGTCCAGCTGTGTATACGCAGTCAGGTCCTTGAACCACACTTTAGCAGCTCCATCTGGGTAGAAGGGCAGAATTTTACAGGATTGGGAGTGCGAATTGTAGATATTTCGATAACTTAGCATCCTGTTGGCCTGTATATTTGGGGACATGTACCAGTGTCGTTACTGGGGTTTGCTGCTGGGTAAGATGAGACTGACTGTGTTGCTTTTGTTGCTTCTGTTGGGGAGGATGGTGTCAGCAGGCACAGTATGGTGTCAAACTGTGGGGGTGGTGGTGCTAGTGTGGAGTAGTTCTTGTTCTAATAATCAAGTTACTGTCAGACCTCAATATGGGGAAGTAGCTATCGGGAACTAGCCCTGAAACAAGACAGAAAATAGATGTGTCTTTCTTAGGGTTTATTGAAGCCAGTGCGTCAAGACATATCATTCAAAATACATTAATTCATATATGATAATGACATACAATTATAATAATGATAATAATATCCTAATACAAATTCTAAGTCGGGGAATAAAGCAATGTATGTTATATTTGAGTATGTACGGCAAATGTACCGCAGCATTTACTAGAGTAATACCTGTAATGACAAATAGCATAAGTTTGCAGATTAATTGAGTCATAACAACAGTTTTACTCGTCTCCACTGTCAATGGCTGCCAAGTTACAATGAAGCCAGATGACAACCGCTATCTGTGGTGTGGTTCAACATTAACCTGTAGATTTAATACTGGGAATGATCCTGCTCGTACAATGTGATTGCCAATGGAAATGGAGTATGACTGAACAGCCATTTTGTTTTGGCTGCAGACGGGCCAGCATTTTTGCCACTCGAGGGATTGAATTCATGTTTCAAGTTTTAAGATTTTACAGCATTCGACGCCAGAAATGTGACAGTTGTGGCCTAGACACAGTGGTTCGTGTATGTTTTGCTTAATTGTGCGTGCGCTGAACTAGATTTCATCAAGTGTGGTAACAGTGACGTCGAGGCATTTGTTTGCGTGTTTTCGTGGCCTTTCAAGGGAGGAGAGTGATGGACTTTCAGATCCCCTCCTGCCTTAAAGATCTTGACGGATAGATAAAATATCGATCATAAAAAGGTTGGTAAACATTAAACAACATTTTGACATGAATATAGTTTCTGAAAACGCTTTTCTATGATGTTATATTTTACTTTCATTGTCGTTTGTTTCAGTGAGGAAATTACCTGTTCGCCACCGAACAGTTTCATAAACGTCATCATTTGTAAGCAAAGGATATGCCTTAGTTAAGTGTTGTCACCTCATCATCGAAGCAGTCGGGATTACATCCGATATTAAACGTACCGTATTTCCTCTATCAGACGCTCGGTCGTCTATTAATGTCGCGAGATCAGTTTACCGGCGTGTGTCAGAGACCTGGATTGTATGAGAGACTCCGCGTCTAATAGAGGAAATATCGATACAGTAGTAAAGTCACTATACAGTTCTTATGGGTGATCGGTGGCCGTCTTTTTATGGTTCGGTAAGTAGGCTATCGATGCATTCATACGCACGGTTTTTTGTGTGAAAAGGCTTAGTATATTAAAAGTGGTTTCTGTAGCAAAGAAGAAACCTCACTTTATCCAGTCAGGATTATGCATTCTTCAATGTCGTGATAGTATACAAAATCTTTGATATTCTAACGATTGCAATATAATTTTCCTGCAAAGTGTATTTGCATTTTTTAAAATTTCTTTTTGTCGGTGTAGGCTCTGATTGTCGTTAGTCGACTCGGTAAAATGAACAATGAAAAATGTCTCTCCTCCCATGTCTGTTTCCTTCCCGACTTGAAAAAGCATTGTCATGACAACAGTACAGATGGCCTTGCCAAATGTATGAAGGTGCAGGTTTTTCACAGTATAAGTTAATAAATAGTTAATATTTTGCGATTTATCTGCAATTATTCAGCTAATAAGATGTACAAAACTCTGGAAGAAGAACACTTTATTAACCTTCTTCTCTTCTACTTCTTCGTGATGACGACATAGCCTATAACGTTATCCCATCCACAGGTGGAGATGTCTTGCTGCTTAATATGTTCAACCAGCAGGTCATAGAATGTGTTGACCACGTCCCGCCTGGAGTCGGGGGATCTACTGGAAAGAGCCTGCATGAACATATATTCCGTCCAGGATCGGATTGCTGAGACGAATTTAGAAACAGAACTTTCCAGGTCATCCTTATCCTCTGGAACAGAAGGAGTAGCTCCAAATACAACCGCTGATAAAGTCTGCAACTGAATGTTTTACTCCGCATTGCAGAAATATTTCAGTTTCATCAGACCCGTGAAGATCCGGGGTAGAATAAGTCTTCAGCAACCCATGCTTGCCGTAAAAGGTGATTATGCTTGATTGATATCATGAGCATCGATCTACGCAATTTGGATACGATGACATGCATCAACCAAGTCAGCGAGCCTGACCCCCCGATCCCGTCGTCGCCTCTTACGTTAAGCGGGGCGGTCTGGTGGCCTAGTGGTTAAAGCCTTCGCTGGTCACGCTGAAGACCCGGGTTCGATTCCCGACATAGATACAATGTGTGAAGCCGTGATATTGCTGGAATATTGCTGAAAGCGGCATAAAACCAAATTCACTCACTCTTACGACAAGCATAGTCGCCTTTTAAGGCAAGCATGGGTTGCTGAAGACCTATTCTATCCCGTATCTTCACGGGTCTACATACATGTCTCGTCATTACACCTTCACTCTTATTTCATGAGTTCCATTATTTTTGTCGGAGTTATATGTGGTAATTTGTTTAAACAGGTCATATTGGCAAAAGAAAAAGAATATCATTACCCAGAAACACAGACCTGACATAATTAGGAATTAGTATTAACACTGCACTGGAAGTAATTTCAAAGTTAAAACTAACATTGCGGTAAAACGGGGAACATTTTAGTGCGAGTCCAAAGTGGCGCAGGGCGTAGACGTTTATCACATGGTTAAAATGAAGCTGACCAGAACCCGATTATGTCATTTGTGATGTATTGTGTGACCATTCTGCATTCATTTGTTTTTTTAACTTATAGAGTAACTTGTGGTTCTGGTTGATTATTTCAATATTTGATGACATGTTGCAATGAATAAAGTATGTATGTATTATTAATACTTATTTTTGCGTTTTTCATTTTTGCGATTGAGTCTCGTTCCCAAAACTCGCAATAATAAAACGGTCGCAAAAAATTCCCTGTTTACAGGAATCATTGTGATTCTGGGATTCCAGTCACAACCCAATGGATACCGACAGCTGAGGGTCTCAACCCTGCAAGGTTTACCCATGTCCTGCAAAAAGGGGTATCACACCTGTTTCTTGCTCTTTGTCTTTACACCTCTGCGTCAAGATGTGGACTTTTTCGTGGGTTAGTGTTAGGGACTTTATTCGCAGTCCAGCCTTGACAACCGGGGAGGCGTCGTCACGAAAAGGAGCTCTTAGTTCCTCCTCATTCCTGTAGTAGCCGGGGTAGTTGGCTGCCTCGTACTCACACTGTAGGAAATGTAGGCACCGTCAATGTCTTTGGATGCACAGCACAACTATCCTACACAACGGCCAGGCAAAGAGTGACATGAATGCACAATGCCAAGTGTTATCCCAAATATAACATTTGTTATTTGTGTCCAATCTCCCACAAAATTGTTTAGCGAATAAGTGGCAAGTGTTAAAAAAAAGTGTTTTGCAACTGCTTAAAAACTCTGGAATTAAACCTCTAGGTTTCATTTTCAAACATGCTTTTCCTTTGGTTTGATAAGTTATGACTGAAACTCTCTATTGGGGAGATATATAGTGCCACAACCAAGGGGATTAGAAATATAATTGATTGCCGGTGTGACATTGAAAATGGACCCTCGTTGAAAAGTGACCCGGGAGTCAGTATTCAACGTTGAAAACATACCAGGTCTCAGTTTTCAACAGACAAGGGTAAATTTTCAACAGTTGAAAAGTGACCCTGTCAACTTAACAAGTCGTTAAATAGTGAAATAAGAAAATATTCTGTCACTAAACAAATACCCCCGTGAAAGACATATCAGCTACAAAATGTGTCGTTCATTGAGCTTTTGGACGTCAGTTTCGCGATCATATGACTATGATTGGAATGATCTCGTCCAATGGGAAATCCGCATATCGTGCGCACAAATTCACATAACTTACTATAAGAAAAACATATCATCAGGCGTAGGTTACCAGATGGTAATAACAATGGGAATTATTGTCAAGCATACATTTTGACGACACCTTCACTGTACGTACCTCTGTCACTTGATGCAGATCCCTTAACAATCTCCACACTGTCGTCATGGCTACCCACAGGTTCTGCAAATGAACTCTGCTTTCACCATATTTCATGTCTGTATCTTGTGCAGGAACTATCAGCAACATACACCCACCTAAATGATAATCAATGTCGATGCACGCAAAATTTAATTGTGTAGTTTTAACGTTTTACAAAGACAAATTTTCAAACATGTTGACAAGAGGGATGACTTCAACTTTCTAATAGTCATATTGATATTTCAGCAGCTCCAGCTTTTGCTATGTACATTTCACAACCTTTTAGGTACAATCGAGCATGCTCCTTCAACATAGTTTTCACAGAGTCTCATACGACTCATGCTCGGACGTTGTTTGATCAATGTGACAAAATACATGGCCAAACATCTTTCATTTTTTTACAGTAGACATGTGAAGGACATTACAATATTTGGCACATCGGTGACAAAAATGATGTCCGAGGCTTTTTTCCATATTTTCACTTGTACCATATGTTCCAGCCGATTGTACCGGTGAACAATTGACTTGCCTTTCCATGTGTTTGTGACGAGGGTGGGATATGCTCACCTTTTCGCGAACACCTGGTATCATCACTATTTGATTGGGATTCATAAACACCTGCTTACCATTTCGCCGGAATCGTACACTCGACTATGCTTATTGCAGATATTTCTCATGAATATGGCAAGGGTTTTGTTGCTTTTATGTATTTATAATTCTGAATATCAGTAAGGGTTTGCGCTTTTTTTTTCTCACGTATTGTTAGCTATATGAATGGTATTGAATAAAACAGTGAAGTTTTAAATAAAAATTAAAATTACTTTACCACTTTTGATTTCCTTTGCTCTAATGAGGAGGAATCGTTGCCATCCATCGCACGCCAAAGCCGCCATAGCATCGCATTCAGCACGTGAGCCGTCAGGAAACGTATTCAACGAATCTTTATACGATACAGAACTGAAAGCAAAACAAAGCACGCCTTCGTGTGTGTTACCATATTATATTCTCAGATTGTACCAATGGCCAGACATGTGTGCGCCTAAAATAGATATATACCTTATTACAAGGATTGAACAATATGGCATTATTTCACTTTAAGTCTCCTCTGCCATGATTGGAAGTGATGAAATTGGTATGGAATGGACTGTCGCAACCCGATGGCATGGGGTGTTTATCATGCTATCAACCAAGTGGCCTGTACTGATTCAATGATTTACAGGCCACAGTGACATATCATCGATCACTGACTGCAGCGTAGAACTATCAAAAATCAAAAGTAAATTTAATCATTAGACACAAATCAAAACAACGTTAATAAAGAGAAATGGTGCGTTAGGATAACGGTACGCCACATCGGTTGTCGCAATGGCGGAAAGAGACATTGGCATTGGAAGAAGTTAAGGTGAGAAGCTGACGTCCTTGGTTCTAAGAACAAGTTGAACAGGCATTTACATATTGAGGAGTAAATTCTGCAGTGTGACACGTTGGCACTTGGGTCCACTGGGATTATTCCGCTGCCTACATAAAACCTCGATCAGTAGTGGTATAAGGGTATTGAGTGAAAACACTGTATACATGTAACGCTGCTGTTTTTGAAGACAGGTTATACTGAAATTAGGTATACACTTTGATTTCGAGACAACATATATAAAACCAATTTGAAAAGTGATATAAGGTTCACGGCAGCTGCCTGGCTGTGTTCTGTCATTTGATGACACCAGCATGAAACTAGTTTCAATATAGATTCCAGCCAGTGTTAGCCGGGGTTCCGTTTACTTGGAGAAATACTTACTGACAGTGTGTGTTTTTCAATTTATAGGTTTTTGGAATTTGGAACCGAACGCGAAGTGGTCATTGTGATTTGAATCGAGTATTTCCCAAATTCATGGCAGAATAAAGCTTTACTCACCTTGGCAGGAAGTGAACAGACCAAAAACTGAGGAGCACGTGGAACGTGTTGTCAGGAACACACTGCTCATAGAAGCTGGTGGGGCACATGGACAGAAAGACCTTTTGGTGGTTAAGTGACTCTCTCCAATTACCTAAAACACATAGAGGGGACACCCAAGTAGGTATAAATAAATTACTTGCAATAAAACCAATTATCGCTTACAGCTATTGGGTTGTCAGTCCACATTCAAAGAGATTATTCCACGACAGAGTCGTATTGGCCATTCCAGATATACACATGGATATTTATTGAAAGGATCCTCCATTTTGTATCCCTTGTGATGAGAGAATCACAGTCAGGCATGTCCTGCTTGAGCGTATTGATTTTGACATCACAATGGATAATTATTTCAAATCATCATTTGTAAAGGGTCTTTTTAATAGTATTAGTTCTCATGTAATTAAAATAAATTAAGGAAATTGAATTGTTTGAAATTTTTTGATGTTTTGAAATGATCTACATTTCGTTTTAAAATCGGTAAATTAGATTCGCAAACCGAGATTGTAAGTGGCTGTATTCTTGAAAGGGGGTCAACGTACGTCTACCCCAAATTTCATCGTAGTATATTTGTTAATGTTAATTGATAGCTACAACTGATTATAATCGTAGGCGGCTGAAGCGATGGCGTCAATCCTGCTCGGAAACCCGTGCTGGGAAACTGTGCTGGGGAACCATGCTGGGGAACTGTGCTGGGGAACCGTGCTGGGGAACTGTGCTGGGGAACTGTGCTGGGGAACCATGCTGGGGAACTGTGCTGGGGAACCGTGCTGGGGAACTGTGCTGGGGAACCGTGCTGGGGAACTGTGCAGGGAAACCGTGCTGGGGAACTGTGCTAGGGAACCGTGCTGGGGAACTGTGCTAGGGAACCACGCAGGAAGCTGAAGTATCGTAAGTCCCCACGGTCCCAAGTATGGTTGCCTAACTTTGGTTGTTAGCGATCTCTAGCTTGTTTGTATCATGTTTTAATATGTATAGTGATGTCGTTTTATCTTCCCATACTAGTTTTAAATATGTCTGTGCTACTCTAATTGTTTTACTGTCCTTTGCTGACAGGCTTTTTAGCAAGTCTACATATATGACGTATGTATGTTTAAATTGTTGAAGTGACGATATGGCTGAAAAAAATCCATCTTTTAAAACCCAGATGCGTGTTTCAGTTGGCCAAAACATTCTGTTTGATATCGAACCGACGAAAAGCTTAATAATACGCATAACTCATGTTGCATTTTCTTAACATTGGTTTGAACTGTTGTTTCATTTATTTATCGCTCATATTTTATATAATGCATGGATCTGTACTTTTAAAACATGTGTATTTGTGAAGAAATATTTGTTTGTTTGCTGTTTAACGCCGCATTCAGCAATATTCCAGCTATATGACGGCGGTCTGTAAAATAATCAAGTCTGGACCAGACAATCCAGTGATTGACATCATGAGCATCAAACTACGCGATTGGGATACGATGACATTCATCAACCAAGTCATCGGGCCTGACCACACGAACCTGTGAGTCGCCTCTTACGACAAGCATAGTCGGCTTTTATGGTAAGCATGTGTGAAGACATAAAATGTATAAGTTGCACAGAAGTGACACACAAACGATTGTCTGTATGTGTAGTTGACGAGCATCATCGACAAATAAAAAAGCAAAAGTAATTCGACCTGCATTGGGACAGCCAAGGAAATTGTGTAAAATATCATTAAAGTAATCACAACGAAAAGTGATAATTTCAGCCCGATTTGACTCCCATATTTTTATTAATTACATTTTGTCAGTTTGTACAATAAAGTCACTTACAGAAAACCTTCTTAACCAAGGCATTGAAGTCATTATTGGCGGTGTCTTCGTAGATGATGTGGGCAGGGAGGTCCTCTCCATGGTGCTGCTTGAGGGAGCCTTCAATGACAAATAATACAGCGAAACAATATGTGACGTACATACTTTAATCATTAACCTCTTGATTTATCACTGTTATCAATGACAATTCTACCATGACATTGAACAACGATTGATTCTGATTCTACAGATTCTATACTAAAACGCGTATATGAAAACGTGGATCTTATCGAACGACAGCCGATGTAGGCATCGATGAATATAATAATGGATGCCAATAACCGGTATTGTCCTGTGGGTTCATGTAATTTGTAATCAGCACTGACACCTAAACCACTATTTGGGCAACTATGGATATAGAGAATAACGGAAGAAAGTATCAAATCATTGTTACTACCAGAAAAATATTTAATTATATTACAAGATAAATCTTCATTGAGAACTCTCTGTAAATAAAGAATATCTCTCCATAACCTCTATGCCAATAAATGTCATAGAATCAAGGATGTGGGTTTTGTAAATCGTATATGTTAAAGTTGATCAAATACCTTGTATCTTTTCATTTGGAACCTCGGGCTGTGTTCCAAATCAGAATTAGTGGTATCGTATCTACAGTGGGACAACATAAAATTTCGGAACACAGCAGGGTTTTTTTCCTGAAGATGTAATTCAGGCAGGAAATAACAGGCGTCGAGTTACCCCAGTGGCTGAAGCGATGCCTCGTCACGCAGAAGGTTTGGTTTCGAGTCGCTACATAGGTACATACTGTGAAGCCCTTTTCTGGTGTGTACCCAATTGCTAGAAAATAGCTAAGGTGACGTAAAGTCATACTCACTAACTCGTACACATCATGTCGAGGTAATTACCTAGTAGGTGTTCGAGAATATCCTTTGATGAAGATCCGTCATGACTCCCATAGTCGCCAACTGTAAACGGTTCGCCTCTCGGAATGATTGAAGTTTCTTTGAATAGTGACCAGAAAGATGTCGTTCAAACATAAGGCTGTCCTTCAAATCCCACATACATGTATGTATCATATGACTCACTTTGAAACTTGTCATGTGCTATGAACAACGTTTCAGTTCTATCACTGCATGTCAGCTTAACTGTGAGGTGAGGTGAGGTGAAATTGGGTTTAACGTCGCGTCCAAGATTATTGCACTTATATAGCGACGTGCATGTACGTGTGTGTGTTTGTGTGGCTGCTTGTACTAGTCCGGACCGATGCCGATTTATAGTGCTAGCCCACTGAGATACCATGCCGCAGTTTAACATGAATACCCTACTCAGACACAGTATACTGACTCCGAGCCAACCAGTCCTTGTTTTAGTTGTTTGTAATGCCGAGCGCCAGACAGGGTAACAACAAGTACCATCTTTTAACGTCTTTTGGTATGACGCGGCCGGGGATCGAACCCCTGACCTTCCGCTCTCCGGGCGGACGCTCTACCACTAGACCACGGAGGCGGTCCTTAACTGTGAAGGACACCTAACGGAATATAATCATTTACCCCCATTTTCTTTGTTTTGTGTGTTGTTTAACGCCGCACTTAGCAACATTCTAGCTACATGACGGCGGTCTGTAAATAATCGAGTCTGAACCAGACAATCCTGTGCTTGATATTATAAGCATCATTCCACCCAATTGGGATACGATGACATGCATCAACCAAGGCAGCGAGCCTTGCCACCTGATCCCATCAGTTGCCACTTACGACAAGCAAAGTGGCCTTTTACGGCAAGCATGGGTCGACCATTTCGATCAGCGGATCCTCTAACTACTGTGCACACGGATAGCAATCCTAACTTGGATAAAACATGGATAAAATCCTTTTCTTTTTCAGAAATCAAACGACAATCGTTCATTAATATCGGACGCATGCAGATATTAAAATTGTGTATTGTATACTAAGTGAGAAATGGATTAACGAATATCTGGAAAAATTAAATACATATTATTCAAGTTATGCTTTATATACAAGCTATATTTAGTACATTATCCATGTTAGATCTAGCAAATTATTAATAATTAAACCAGACAATTATACCAATACCTATAATCTGACGCACTGTGTCGTCAAAGTAATGGGTTTGCGACCTGATGATGGCGCCAACAAAGCTAGTGTACTGGTCATCAAAGACGGCAGGGCATTCGTTATTCATTGTGCTGCAAAGAGAATTGTCGAAAACATTTTCTAATGTGGTAAGTTGGTCGGTTGGTTGGTTTGTTGTTTAACGCCATACTCAGCAATATTCCAGCTATATGACGGCGGTCTGTAAATAATCGAGTCTGGACCAGACAATCCAGTGATTAATATCATGAGCATCGATCCATGCAATTGGGATCGATGACATGCATCAACCAAGTCAGCGAGCCTGACCACCCGATCCCGTTAGTCGCCTTTTACGACACGCATAGTCGCCTTTTACGGCAAGCATGGGTTGCTGAAGACCTATTCTAGCCCGGATCTTCACGGGTCTAATGTGGTAAGCCTGAGATTGGTTTAAACTATACATTTTCCCGCAATGATACACAATGAATATCGCATGATAATAAAACATATGTAGATAGTATAACAAGAAGGTTATGCATTTAACAATTGACATTCACTTTGTGTGCGTTCATTGGAGTATGAATCTTCATAGACTGAGGGCCAAATAGCGTGAAGGTCGGAGCTTGCGTAAGAGGGAAACAAATATAAATGTTTCAATGAATGATGACACCAGATATTCGCCAAAAGGGTAAGCATAACCTTAACCGGGTTTGCCGGTGCGACCGCCAATATTTAATGGACAACGAAAGAGTGAAGCGAGATATGTATCAATCCTGAAATCACAGTGACTTTCTAGCAATAAAGGCCTATTTTATATCACTGTTATTTATAGTATGACATTTATTGCCTTAATTGATCATACCCTGAGCTGTGTCGGTTCGTCGCGCCCATATGTCCCATGTCCAGAGCTACATGTACGTCATTGTCTCTTTGTCTGTCCGTTGACACACTGCACTGTCATCATTTATTCTCAATTCTTCTGTCCAATTTAATTCCAATACCGCGAGAGAGGTGAAATGAATGTTATGTAATATTCACGTAGCAGCCCAGCAAGAGGAGTGATCAGTTCATTTACTTTTTTGTAAACGGATCATTCCTCGCCATCAAAACTTCCACAGAAAATACGGTCATTGATTAATCACTGTTATCTTGCACAGTGCATTTGTCAAAAGTAAGTGTTTGCATGTGTAGGTTTACTAAAGCAGACGAAATACACTAATATCAAGGCGTGAAGTGCCGATGTAAAAACAACATACTTGGTTCAAAGGATCAACCGATAATATGTTTATTGATTGTTCATTGATATTTTTAAGGAACCATTGACATCATGAACATAATTGTCACATGTGCTATCTTAGATGACCAATGAGACTTGACACCTTTGTGAAACATCTGAAACAAACTTAGTGATCAGTTGAGAAACGAACACGGGTTATAATAGAGAATGGAAGATTTGTGCAAGCGATCTATTAATAATCTTTTACCTAAAGAACCGCACTGCTCTATCATCTGCGGGCAAACGGGTTGCGGAAAAAAAGCTTTTATTCTAGATATTTTACAAAGTCATTATCGGGACGTTTTCGCCCATATTATCATTCTGTGCCCGACTATAAGCGTTAATAAAACATACCTATCGAGTGATTGGGTAATGAATGATCGCGACGTGTACAAATTAAAGTTGATCCGGGGGGTCGTTTACAAGACTATTTACGTGTATGTCACGAAAAATTCAAAGGAAAATCAACTCTTTTCAAAATAGAAGACTGCAGTACGAGTAAAGTACTTACCAAAAAGAAAGATATGCTTTCATATTTAGCATTCTCCCGTCGGCATATGGAGCATAGCGTTTGGTTACTTACTCAAAAATATAACTCTGTACTGAAAGATCTCGGAGAGCAGGCCAAATGGGTAGCCCTGTTTCATTGCAAAGACCGAGATACATTTGAGGAATGTCTACGCGAAAATGATGTTATTTCTACCAAGCTCGAACAGGATAAGGTCAGAAAACTTAGCGGAAACGAAGCACCGTAAACTCGTATTAAAAACTGATCAACCAGCTGCTTATGCAATTGCTTAGCAAAATTATAGCAAACAATATAGCAACTGCTGGGCAAAATTATAACAAAAATAGCAAATATATAGCAACTGCTGAGCAAAATATAGCAAAAATACGATAAATTAAACATTAACGATTATTATGTGATAACTTGTTTTGAAATCCTCATTCTTTTACTACAGTTGATTATTTTTGGCTGCATTGGATATGCAATGTTTCATTATGTTAGACTTAAATATCTCCTTAGGCATTACATTATGGAATGCGACGAACTTATCGAACAAATGCTCAAAGATGAGCCTTATCAACAAACAGATAAACATAGAGAAAGACTCGCGGCTTTGGTAGCCTGTGGAAAATGTTCCCAATATTTTTGGGGAAATTATACCACTGAAAAAATTGATAACATGACCAACGAAGAAATTAGAAAAACTGTACACACGTTACGAGTGTATCAAACCTATAGAAAATACTGAAAGCAATACTGAATGTAGTTTTACGTGCAAAACTCAAGAACATATTCCTTGAGGGTTTGGATATATAGTTGTAAGGTATGATAGAAAAACAAACCCGACCGTGATTTACAGACGTCCCGATGCAGCGGGAAAGTTCCTAGAATATCTACAAAACAAAGAGAGAATAATCAGGGAAAATTTATCGCGTAAGAACCCATGTGTATGACGAGGGATGATTTGAGGGCCTATAGGAAGTCAACGAGTTGTCAAGTTTGTAATAAACCCCTGAATGGGGATTCCGTAAGAGATCATAGTCACGTCACGGTTAATTATCGGGGAGACGTGTAATTTGAAACTAAAAATGAATTCTCAAACAATACCCATACCCGTTGTGTTTCATAACCTTCTCATCTCATTATGCAAGCTATCTCAATGACTGACGGCGGTTTAACGTGCATTCCTAATAATATGGAATAATACACATCATTCTCATTGACTAAAACTATACATTATACGGACAAAGATGGGAAATCTAGAATAAAGCAAAGTAATGGGCTTAGATTCATAGACTCCGTATAGTTTCTGTTATCTTCCTTGGACAATTTAGCTAAAGCGAACAATCCTGATGACTTTGCAATAACGAATCAATATACTGATCGGTTAACACAGCATTTGTTGCTAAGAAATGGTGTACATCCTTACGAATATATGGATGATTGGTCTAGATTCGAAGAAACTAAAAAAACACCTCTTGAATCATTCTAAAAACTTAACAGAATCTAAAATAACCGATGTTGATTATTAACATGGTCTGACGGTGTGGGATAAATTAGGTTGTAAGAATTTAGGTGATTATCACGATCTGTACTTAAAAACCGATGTACTGTTACTCGCCGATATATTCGAGATATTTAGAAAGACATGTTTAAAACAATATGTCTTTGACCCGGCATGGTACTATTCCAGCCCCGGACTATCGTGGGATGCATTGCTGAAGAAGACCGGTGTAGAACTAAGACTACTCACCGATTACGATATGCACTTGTTTGTTGAGAAAGGATTAAGAGGTGGTACATCAATGACGGCGAAAAGATATTCTAAGGCTAATAATAAATTAGTAGAAGGATATGATCCGAGTATACCTAATACGCACATACATGTATGATATCTCGACGCCAACAATTTGTACGGATGGGCTATGAGTCAACCTTTACCCACGGGTGGTTTTGAGTGGATCGATGTGAATGATATCCCCACAGATTCCGATAAAGGGTACATACTAGAAGTTGACTAGGAATATCAAACAGAGTTACACAAAGATCATAACAGTTATCCGCTAGCTCCCGAAAGGTTAATGGTTAACAAAGATTGGATGTCGGAATATCAACACTCCTTGATGGGGAATACTAGGTTAGCTAACGTAGAAAAACTCGTACCAAATTTTATGGATAAGACAAAATTTATAGTTCACTACAGAAATCTCCAGTTATATCTATCGTTAGGTATGGAACTAAAGAAAATACACAGAGTTCTAAAGTTCGATCAAAGCCCTTGGATGGAAACCTATATAAGACTGAACACAAATTTAAGAAAGATGGCTACCAGCGAATTCGAAAAGAATCTATATAAGCTCATGAATAACTCGGTATTTGGTAAAACTATGGAGAATCTAAGGAAGCGTGTTGAAGTTTAATTATTCAGATCTAATGAGGAAGAAAGACTCAGGAAACTTATAGCCCGTCCGGCTTTTAACAGAAGCAAGATATTCGATAACAACTTAGCCGCACTACATATGCAGAAGAGTAATATAAAATTCAACAGACCGGGGTACGTTGGTATGAGTATTCTTGACTTCTCAAAACACTTAAGTTATGACTATTACAATGAATTTAAGAAGCAATACGGCGATAGGTGGTAGGTGTTTTATACCGATACACATTCTTTGTTGATGAAATACAAACCGAGGATTTACAAAAAGATATGGCAGAAAAAAATAGATATGTACGACACGAGCGATTACCCAAAAGATAATCCACTGCACAGCGTAGTAAATAAAAAGATGTTAGGTAAGATGAAGGATGAATGTGCTGGGACCCCTATAGCGGTGTATGTTGGATTAAGACCTAAGATGTATTCTATAAAGAAGTCTGATAATGGGGAGATAAGAAAAGCTAAGGGTGTTAAGAAGTATGTGGTAAAAAAGCATATCAAACACGAACAGTATAAAGAAGCATTATTCAATGGTAGAACATTCAAACACGAGATGAAAGCTTTAAGAAGTGTCAATCACAGGATATATGGATGAAGAATGAACAAGACATCATTATCCCCCTTAGATACAAAGAGATGGATTGATGAGGATGGTGTAACTACCTATGCTTATGATTATGGTGGTAATACTGTATCGTTGGGAACTATGAGCAACTCTTCTCGTAAAAATGCCATGACCTGTCCATCTTTAAGATAATAAAGAATAGGCTCTCCTTCTTTCATAACCAACCGACTAATGTTTGATATCTTAAGGGACCAAATCGGATCGGTTGCTCGACGTTGGCCTCCTTCGAGTTTCCTGGGCTGGTATAAATATCTTACGCTTACTCTA